TGAGGATGGCGCAGGAACAGGCAGTGTTCTGTCCTGTTGCACATGGGTCTCTGTGAGTCAACACCTACTTGACAGCACCTGACAACAACATGCCATTAAAAAGAAGTCTTGGTGGCACAGTGGTTGAAGTGCTTGACTGCAATTTAACCAAACTGACTGGCTCAAACCCACCAGCCACTCCACAGAAGAAAAATGTGAGGGGCTTTTGGTGTGGCCCAAAAAGAACGCTGGTGGTGGAGGCCATGTGCATGGAGAGAGGCAAGTGGCTTCCACTTCCAGTGGTGAGGAGCTAGGACACTGTGGCCAGATGCTGGGTGGACCCCTGGCTCCACCCCTCACTGGCTGTGGACCCTGGGTACCAACTACAATAGCATCACTGTAAGGAGTAAGGAATTAATAAATGTGAAGGGTTTCCAACAGGGCCTGGCATGAGTTGGAGGCATACTGTTAATATTAGGGTACTCTGGTGGCACAGTGGTTAAAGCATTTGGCTACTCACCAAAAGTTGGTTGTACAAACCCACCAGTAGCTCCTCAGGAAAAAGAGGAGGCAATCTAAATCCATAAAGATTTGCAGCTTTGGAAACCCTATGGGGCAGTTCTACTCTGTCCTATGGGGTCGCTATGAGTTGGAATCAACTTGATAGCAGTGGGTTTGGGTTTTTCTGGACATCATTGATATTATTATTAATAATAATAACAGGTTCAGGAGGTACATGCGGGGGAGGTGAGGGAGAGGCAGATCAAGGATGCCTCTTGGATTTCTAGTGTAAGGAAGTGACTGGGTAAGGCAGAAGTGACTCAGCAATGAGCATGTCAGGTCTTGAGTAAGGTGGGAGGAGAACGTATTAGGGGTACGTTGTCGATTGTGTTCAGGCCCACACAATTCAGCCCTGGCAGACTCTGGGCCCCGATTCTCTCCCAATGGGCAGGACAAGGCAGATCCTGCATTAGCAGCCAGAAGAAGGAGAACTGAAGGAAAGAAGCATAAGCCAATGACCAGAAAAGTTAGGTTCTGACAGAGGTGCCTTTGTGGCCCTGGATAAGTCAATTCATCATCGGGGCCCAAGCACACACATCATTGGAGGTGACAACACTGAGAGCCGTGAAGTAGATGACGGTGTTGAAATGCCTCCTCTTCTTCCAGGCCTGTTTTCGTGCTGCAGCTCAATGTAGTCTGTCCCAGTCTCCCAGCCAGAGGCAGCCTCTTTCCACCCTGGGCTCCTATAACTGCCACATCTGAACACTCACAAGGTCTACCCACCCCATGCCCCCAGCCCAGCACTAGGCACACAAGGGCGCTCATTGCTCTGCTCCCCCTCCCCTGCCAGGTAGCCAGCACCAACCCAAGGCTAGTGCAGAACCTTCCATTCCTGCTGTTGTGACCTATTCCCAACACAGGAGAATTTGGGCTCTTCTGGTGGAAAGCCTAAGGATCCCTGATGGTGCAGTGGTGAAGTGCATGGCTGCTAACCAAAAGATCAGCAGTTTGAATCCACCAGCCACTCTGCAGAAGAAAGACGTGACAGTCTGCTTCCATGAAGATTTCCAGGCTTGGAAACCCTATGGGGCAGTCCTGCAGGGTCACTATGAGTTGAAATCAACTTCAGAGCAATGGGAATGGTGAAAAGTCTGAAGATGAGACAAAGCAGAGAAGAATCAAGACACACCCCTTTTACAGGTGAGGATGACGTGGCCCAAACGACTTAGTGTCTGTGATCTTCCTTTCCTCATCTGTAAAGGGATGGGAGGGGCAGCAACCCTCATGTTACGTGCTCAGCACAGAGTCCCGCACAAAGGAAGTGAGAATCATAGCCGAGTGGGAGCACCAAGCACACACACATACACAAACACACATGCCCACAACTCCATCCTACTCTTCCTTTGCATCTAGAACAACCAGTATGAGGCAGGGGTGCTACAGTGAGTACTTCAAAGGACTCAGTCTCCCAGCGATGTCATCATGTAAGTTGACCCACACCGGGTCTTCCACAGTCCTCATGGCCCCAGAGTCCGGGTAGGATGGAGTGTGCAGAATCCTGCCCTGAGCTTTCACAAAGTGTGTGAATTAGTTTCCAACCGATGCTCTAACAAACAGCAAACGTAGTGGTTTAAAACAAAACAAATTTATTTGCTCACAGTTCTGGAAGGGTGTCTTAGTTTTTGGTGTGGCCATAATAGAAATATGCATCTGGGTGGAATTAACAAACAGAAATTAATTTTCTCAGTTTAAGAGGCTACAGGCCTGAATTCCAGGCACTGGTTCTAGGGGAAAGCACTCTCTATCCACTCTGGGGGTAAATCCTTGCCTGCATCTTTCCGTTTCTTTCCTCGGTTTCTTGGTGACGTCCATGTGGCCTCAATCTTTCTTCATGTGTGCTTCCTTGCTTCTGTACCTAATCTGCTTTTTTTATATTTCAAAAGTAATTGACTTAAAACACACCTTACACTGCTATGGCCTCACTAACAAAATAAAACCCTATTCCCAGATAGCATTACATCCACAAGTACAGAAGTCAGGATTTCCAATACATTTTGAGGAGACTCAAACAGTCACAAGTCCAAAATGGGGCAGGGCTGTGTTCCCTCTGGAGGCTCTAGGAGAGAATCTGTTTCCTCACCTTTTCCAGCTTCTTGAGGCTTTCTGCACTTCGTGGCTCATGGCCCCATCCTTTTTCTTCAAAGCCTGCAGGCTAGCGTCTTCCCATCTCTCTCTCTGCCTTCATCATCACATCTCCTTTTCTAACTCTGACCCTCCTGCTGCTCTTAAAGGATCCTTGTGATGACACTGGAAAAATGCTTAGTCATACCTGCAAAGACCCTTTTGCCACAAAAGGTAACATATTCACAGGTTCCAGGGTTTAGGATGTGGAAATCTTTGGCAGGGGGACCATTATTCTATCTATACAGTCTGTAACGTACTTCCCACCTTGGGGTTGTGTTCCTCCAGCTACTGGAGGTCCGACAGCAGGCTCCATCAAGAATGTCCAGCTAACAACATCAAGTACATGTGTGAAACACCTGTTTTAACTCAGGTGGGCTAACCTGTTGCAAAAAGCAGACCCAAACATTTAATGAGTCAGCACAGTAGAGGTTTAGTTCTTGCTCACGTAAGTGTCCTGAGAGGGTGTCCAGGTCAGAAGGGCAGCTGTTACCCCTGCAGTCATTCGGGAACCCAGGCTCTTTCCATCTTGTAACTTTTCCAGCCTGCAGACCCTCATCCTCACCCTGTGCATCCAGCCAGAGGAAGAGAAAGAGCATGAAGGAGCACGTGTGCTGTTTCCACAGCAGACCTGGACAGGAATACATCTCTTCTCTCCTACTCCACTGTGTACACTTAGGCATACAGTCACACACTCAATGGGGACAGGGGAAAACAGGTCAGCTGGGGGCCCAGGACAAAAAAAAAAAATGTTTTGGTGGGCACTGACTCACCCTCCAGGACTGCCTCCCCCCACCCTCCAACATCCAATACCCTCCTGGGACATTCAAGTCAGTTCATTTCAATTCGGCAAACATTTCCAAGGCATGTGCCCACTGCCAGGGTTCTGGCAACTCTGGGACGAGAATCTTTAATCTTGTTTTCAAGAAAGTTTCCTGATGAGGAAGGAGGAGATTCTTGCTGCCTTTCTTCCAAATATGGGACTATCATCCACTCTGCAGAAACACCCAGCCCCCAGAGGCAACTATGACCCAGCTCCTCTGTGCAGTAACCCATTGCCCACAACTCCGACTGAATGTGCTCCACCATGTGACTGCGACCGCTCATGCCACCCATTCCCCTATTGGCGGGCAGCTGGGTTGTTGCCGTCTTCTGCTTCTATAAACAATGAATCATTGACATCCTTACACAAGTGTGAAAGGGTCTCTAGGGTCTACACCTGGAGGTGTAATTGCTGGGTCTTGGGAGTAGTGACAGAATCCCAAATCATGGCCTGTGGCTGGCACAGAGGTCCTGTCAGAAAGAAAAGCAGGAGACAAGTCTGAAAATATATTGGGGCTTGACTGGGAAGGACCTAGGATGTCACCATAGGTAAGGGTCTGGACTTCATCATTCAGGAAATGTGGAGCAACTGAGGAAAATTAAATCACCAAGGAACACAGCTTTTCTGGGTTTTAAAGAAGGGTCTCTCAGAAATAGCCTTACTTAAAGTGGACTTGTTTGAATCATTCAACTGCGGAGTTCCAAATACTCTTGCTTTTTCCTTTAAATTTTATTAATTCCCTTTCACACACGTTGTAAGGATTTGGCAAAAGAGAGTTTGTCATTAAGAACCATAGGTTATTAAGTGCTTAGTAAATCAGGCCATTTTTAGACATAATCTGCTTATCTCACTTAATCCTCACAACAGCCCCACAGAGGCATAGACTGTTACCTTCTCAATGTTGTGGGTACCCTGGAGTCAATCCCGACTCGTAGCTACCGTACTGGACAAAGCAGTATTGTCCATAGGGTTTCCCAGGCTGTCATCTCTACTGAAGCAGATCACCGGGTCTCTTCTGCAGAGACAACTGGTGGGTCCGAACTCACAGCCCTTCAGTTAGTTGCCTCCTGGTTAACACGGTTCCACCAGGGTTCCTTTGTCCGTAATAGGTATAAGGGAACATTTAAGAAGACGGTGACGCGACGTGCACTTAGGGCAACGGTACGGCGGAAGGGTTAGAGTGGGCCACCTAGGTCTTTACTGGCTGTATGGCCAAATCACTATGGACAAATTTCTTCAACTATGTCAGTCTACATTTTCTCATCTTTCACACCAGCATTATAGCTGCTACCTCTTAGGCTCGTCATGATTAAAGGAATGAAACGAGTAAAGGCCCGGCGCAGCAGGACCCAGGACTAAGTGGGCGACGATAAGCAGCGTTAGTCTTGGCCAGTGCCACGTGGTCCCGACCCTACTAACGTAAATGAGGGCGGGCTGGCGCTCCGTGGAGTCCTCGCCCGACCACCCCCGGCCGCCAGGGGCCGTTGTGACACGGCTCGGGCCTGGCGAGCGGCCGCTCTAGCCTCGTCCAGGGAAGTCGCTATCCTTACCTTTCGGCAGGAGCCTGTGCCTTGCTGTCCGCGCCCGCTTGCCCTCGGCTTCGTCCTACCGCTAGCCATTGCCCTCTTGCAGCCCACCATGGCCCTACTGCACTCTGGCCGCGTCCTTACCGGGGTCGCAGCCGCCTTCCACCCAGGCCTCGCCGCCGCGGCTTCTACCAGAGCCAGGTAAGCGGAGAAGGATGTAGAGAGTGAAACGGGACGACGGGCCTGTGCGGCCGAGCTGCGGGCGACCCAGGGCGTTCCACTCCACATGCCCGCGCGTACACACACATACACTTCTTCCCTGGTACCCTCTCGGCTTTCCCGCACTGGGGTCTGAAAATTCAGCGTCTGTGCCTCACCATGACCCCCGGGTCTCACAACCTCCCGGGGCCTCCGGCAAGTGTGTGCCAAGGCGTTCTCTGGGGAAGGAAATGTGGCCCTTTGCGGTATCCGGACTTACATGGGAGGTGGGGGGCGCAGCGCGAGGCGAGGACCCGGGGCGCGGAGTTCGCGCGATGGGATGGTGCGAAGGGCAGAGCACGCGGGCTGTGGCAGCGAGGCTGCCTCGCGCCAATTGGTTGCAGCGCCGAGGGGCTCGCTTGCCCTTGACCCGCGCCCTGAGAGGCAGCGGGGAGCACCCGTCGCGGCCTGCCTAGGGCCCGAGCCAGGTTGGCGGGACCGCGACTGTCTACCGCGAGTAAGCGCTTGGGAAGGAAATGCCTGAGAGGGGCATGGTCGTCCAGAACCCGTTTTTCTCTCTGCAGCCCGTGACCTTGGCGTGCAACATCCCCCTGGTCTGTGTTGTCTCCTGAAACCTGGGTGACCCAAGGCCGTTTGGCCTTTGATGGGAAGGGTATTAAAGTCTTAGGAGGTCTATGTAGGGAAGTCCCCAGCATTCTTCCCCCTTGTTTCGAAATGCACTCTGCTCTTTCATTCAGTAAATATTTTGTAACCCCAGCATCTCAGAGCCGGGCACTGGACCAGATGCTGATGTTGCGGCGGTGTACAAGACAGAGGGAGGGGCAGGTGTCACTCAAAAAAATCACAAATGTGTAATTTCAAACTGTGACAAGTGTTGCAGAGGAAAAGTCCGGCAGATAAAATGAGCTGGTAATTTTCCTCCTCCTAGTACAGCTCTGGGAGCTCTGGTAGCGTAGTGCCTAAGGCACTTGACTGCTAACCAGAAGACTGGCGGTTCAAACCCACCAGCCACTCCTCTGAAGGAAGGTTGGTTGGGCAATCTACTTCTGTAGTGATACTGCCTCGGAAACCCAAGGAGGGGTTGCTATGAATCAGATCCAACTCCACTGCAATGAGTTTGGTTTGGTTTTTGGTAATGGAGCTCTGGCAGGCACAGTGCCTAAGGCTTTTATTTGAGTACTAACCAGAAGATTGGTGGTTCAAACCCACCAGCTGCTCAGTGCAAATAAGATGGGGCGGTCTACTTCTGTAAAGACTTACCGGCTTGGAAACACAATGGGGTCATTAAGAGTGAAATGCACTGGATGGCAGTGAGTTTAGTAGAGACCTGGTGGTGCAGTGGTTAAAGTACTCAAGTGCTACAAAGTATCCAAGTCTACCAGGTGCTCTGTGGAAGAAAAATGTGGCAGTCTGCTTCCCTAATGATTACAACCTTACAATCCCCATGGGGCAGTTCTACTCTGCCCACTGGAATCGATTTAAATGGGAATGGACTCCATACCCACGGATTTGCTAGGGTTTTGTTCTACTAGAGACCTGAACCAGATTAAGTCACCAAAGAAGCCAATTTAGGCCAATGCCCTTGAGTAGTATCTAGTGAGGGACTGAGAAGTCTCCAGGTGTGCAGACGGTTGAGCACACCTGATGGTTAGCAGGGTGAACCCACCCAGAGGTGCCTCAGACGACAGGCCTGGCATTCTGTTTCCAAAAGGCTACAGCTTGAAACCCTGTGGAGCAGTTCTAATCTGCACACGTGGGGTTGCCATGAGTCAGAATGGACTAGCTGGCAACAGCACCCCAACCAGATGGTAACTACAAGGAGCAAAGCACTGGCTTCTTACACCTGCCTTGGCCTCACATTTGAACATATACGTGATACCGTTGGCCAGCAGAACAGTCTGTCCTTTCTTAAACAGCCCACTCTTGGCAGTACTGTTTGGCCCAGGCCTTCTCTGCCTGATTTGGCACTTGCTGGGCTCACTGTCAGGAGTGCTCTTTAAGCCTGCCTGTCTAGAACCAAAAACCAAACCCATTGCCATTGATTCGATGATAACTCATAGCAGCTCTAGGACAGGGTAGAACTGCCCTGTAGGGTTTCCAAGACTGCAAACCTTTCCACACTATAGACTGCCTCATCTTTTGTGTAGCTGCTAAGTTCCCAACCACTAACCTTTTGGTTAGCAGCACAATGCTTTAACCACAGTGCTACAAGAACTCTTTAGTGGACCAGAATTAGGGAGCATATTGCCTAGGACACTTAACTGCCTACCAGAAGACTGGCGGTTCAAACCCACCAGCCACTCCTTGGAAGGAAGATGGGGCAATCTACTTCCTTAGTGATACTGCCTCAGATACCCAGGGAGGGATCTCGCTGTGAGTCAGGTCCGACTCAACAGCACATAACAACAACAACCATTTATAAAGCAAATTTGGAGAGAAGACAGGTGTGTCTAAAATTTGTGGGAAAGAGAAAAGTCCTGTTTCACCATTGTAGTGATCTTAAAGATATCCCTTGTTTTCTGGATTTGGCTGGGTGGCCTGAAGCTCACCTTTAAAGTGCTTGGTGAAAATCCTGTAGGTGTGACCTTTTGGTCATTCTTTCAGATTGAGAGCCTGACTCGTTTTTCTTTCTTCCCCATTAGAAGATAGGCTCCATGCCAGCAGAGACCTTACCCACTCTGTTCAAGGTGGTTTTTTCCTCTTAAAACAGTGCCTGGCGTAGCTTCTAAAATAAATGTTTTCATTTTGAATTCTGACTTCTTAATTAATTAACTTAGTTAAGAGAAACAAACACATAATGTCCCTTTGACTCAGCCTTACAATCCCTAGGGGGCAGCTCTGCTTTGCCCAGTGGGGTTGATTGAGGGGAATGGACTCCATACCCACAGATTTGGTTGGCTTTTGGTCTACTAGAGACCTGAACCAGATTAAGTCACCAAAGAAGCCAATTTAGGCCAATGTCCTTGAGTAGTATCTAGTGAGGGACTGCGAAGTGTCCAGGTGTATCTTAAGGTATAGACAAATGTTGGTGCTGTGTCTTCAGATGTAGACAAATAGGGGAAGCCACAAATAGTGATACAAAATGTGTACAGAAAATAAAATGGTGAAATCTTTGAGCACCTGCTGTCAATGTGCTGCTCAGGTTTAAACGATTACGCATGGTTGGCTGATAGGACAGATGCCCTATCTGGTCAGGGGTATAAGTTGTTCAAACATCAATGAAGTGAGGACCTTTCCTCCAGCCACTGGGGGAATGACCTTTGCCATGAGCCAAATGATAAAAGTGGAAAACTTTTAAAATTATCTCAAGCTTTTAAAGCTTCTTTTTAAAAGAAAAATAAAATTAAAATAAAACTCATTCTAATACAGGTATACCTTGCTTAACATCCGCAATACCTTATGTGATTTGGACTTTCTACAAACACTGTATTAAAACCTTTGGGAGCTCACACCGTTGCCACTGTGGTGGCTCAGGAACGAGCAGTGGCGGCGGCTGCTGGCAGCAAAGCCAGAAGAATCCAGAAAGCGGGAGGGGAGGGACCAGAACTCACCTGCCTCACCCACAGATCCACCTGCCTGGCTGGCCCTAGGAACGAAAACCCTGAGAGCCCGTGCTCTGTCTCACCCTGGTCCAGTGTTGCAAGTCTGAGTTCCAGGCCTGTACAATCTTTAGAGGGAAATAATAAACAAAAGAAGGCTGCTTTCCCTTTAAATAAATAATAAACCAAGGGGTTTATTTATAAACCCTTGGGGACCGAGGATGTATTTGTGGTAGGTCAGATGTTGTCCTGACGATGATAAGTGATGCATACTCATACAATAAAGCCTTGGTAATTGGTATTCTGAAGAACTGAGGATTTGTCTTGTAAAATACTTAATTTTCATATGTGAATCACTTGAGTGGAACTCTTTCTACATTTCAGTGCATTTTTTAAACAGAAAGCACTGAACCTGAAAGCTTTTTTCTGTTGACTTGTGCTGTAAAAGCATGATCACATAACCAGGCTCACTCACAGTCAATCAAAGGAAAATATCTATGCCGACCTATTTTGATTTATAATTATCTGATTTTTAATTATTTTGATGATTTAAATTTTAATGAAATAAGTGCAGAAGTATCATGAAACCATTTGGAAAGACTACAGTAGTGGTACCAAACCAAACTCATTGCTGTCAGGTCAACGCGGCTCATAGCGACCCCTCCGTGGGTTTCCGAGGCAGTAGCACTACGGAAGTAGACTGTCCAACCTTCCTTCTGAGGAGTGGCTGGTGAGTTTGAACCACCAGCCTTCTGGTTAGCAGTCAAATGCCTTAGGCACTGCACCACCAATTACAAGATCAAGACTGTAATATTGTCTCTGCTGTCTTTGCTCGGTGACCCTGGACAGGTTAATCAACCTCTCCTCATTTTAAAATAAGACGAAAGTGAGAGGGAGCTAAAACATATGGTAAGCATGCGGTTGGCTTAAGCTTCAGATAAATTGCAAAACATGTAAATTAGAAATGCTTATCTGAGCCCTTTGTGCTTACAGGTGACTAGTCAATATTGCTCAATGGCTGAGCTTTGAGCTTATGTCCAAAGTACATGGGCACAGGTTGCAGCATCAATTTTGTCCTAAGGCACTCTTGTTTTCATCTAGTACTGTCTCTTCAAGCACGTCTGAGTTCTTCCGGCATGGATGTAGATTCTTCCCCCTTCTAAGGAATGGAATACTGAAGGGTGTAGAGGACCTTGCCCACAGTCATTAATGTGAGAGCCATCTGATCATTAGTATCCCTACTCCTGTCTTTTTACCAGCCGTCTGTTTCTTATATTGTAGTGGCTTGCACGTTGCTATGATGCTGGAGGCTGTGCCACCAGTGTTTCAAAAACCAGCCGGGTCACCCATGTGGACAGGTTTCGATGGAGCTTCGTGAGAATCGTGTGGAGCACAACAGAGCATTGCTTGGTACAGAGCCGAGCACTGTGTCCTTCCACTACACACCAGGTCGCCATGAGTCAGCAACTGATGGCAACAACCCTCCTATATTTAGGTTGTTTAAAAGCCAGTATTTTGAAATTGCTTTTAGAGTTCTTAAGAGATGACCATTCTCCTCCCTCAAATTTCTGCTAGAACACTCAGTGCTGTGTCTTCTGAGAGAATTTCTATATTAGATTAACTTTTTAAAGGACTTGACAAGTGAGTGCTTTTCAGACAACTTAGTAATGTGACCTTCTGTCCTTGTGGCTAAAGGGAGGCTTTGAATCAGAGCAAGTAGTTTCTCTTTGTCATCATTGATTGAGAGCCTAAGAGACACAACCATCCCTTTAAAAATGAAAATTGCTACTCTGTATAACATGGATGAACTTGGAGAACATTATGCTGAGTGAGATAAGTCAATCACAGGACAGATACTATATTAGTTCATTATTGTAAAAAGTCAGAGAAAGGTTTATATATGGAAAGAAACTTTCTTCATTGGTTACCAGGGGTGGGAAGGAGGGAGGGGAGGAAACACTGCAAAAATAAAAAAAAATTAAATGAAAATTGCTTACAAGAAGTTCTCTCTTTTATAATCTAATATGTCCTTGACATTCAAAGTAGTCCTTTTACTCAGCAGTTAGTGACAGTGATATAAACAGGCAGGTGTTTTCTAAATTATTAAGAACGAATGCTTTCCTTAGGTCCAGTTCAGCAGTTGCTTCGAGATATCTATGTTTCTTACTATTGCTTAGATACTAGGAACAACCCAGTAGCCTAGAGCAAAGAAAAAGAATGGGAGTGTGGTGGTTAAGTTTGTGTGTCAACTTGGCTGGGCCTGGTTGAGTGGCCAGGCAGCTGGATATAGTATTCCCCATGATGAGACTGGAAATCAAGTCCGTGGTGGAATCTACTGGGAGCAGCTGAGTAGCTGCCTTAGGGATGTGATCTGCTTCCCGTATATAAGCAGAAGGCTTGGGGAGTGGTCTCTAGCTTATGGCACACTTGAACTCTGCATGTAGCTATGTCGTTTTGTTCAGCAGCCTGCCATACTCTGCTGACCTTGGGACTTTCAGTGGACTTGAATTAATGGCCTGCCTTGTGGTTTGGTAACATCGGGACTATGCCTTGTTACTTGTCAACCTTGGACTTGTCAGTCTCAGCAGCCAGCAGCTGTCTGAGTGAAGAAAGGCTTCTAGCTTCAGTGGACCGGAAGCAGGAGGCAGGGCTGAAACCCAAGGTTGAGGGACTTTCACCCAGCTCCTAGAGCCTGGCAGTTTGAACTCAAACTTAAAGCCTCCAAATTGTAAGAATAAACTCCTGTTTGTTAAAGCAATTTGTGGTATATTTTCTATTAGAGTGGCACAGAGGTAACCAATGTTGTTGTTATGTGCCGTCGAGTTCGGCCCGACACATGGCGACCCTTCCTTGGGTTCCCGAGGCAGTATCACCACGGAAGTAGATTGCCCAGTCTTCCTTCCGAGGAGTGGCTGG